TTGTGATCCACCCACCTCGGCCTCCCAAAGTGCTGGGATTACAGGCATGAGCCATCACGTCCAGCCTCCTATTTTCAATATGGTTCTGTCTCAGGAAATAGGGAGGTCCAAGCTGGAGAAACAAGATGAGGTAAAAACTCATTAGAAAAGCAGTCAGAACAAACACATTTACTGATTAAGTTCATGATTTTACATAAGTGAGACTCATAGTTCAATAACATAATAATAGTAATAAGAAAGAATTCTGAAGAAAGTTCACTTACTATACCTAATATAAGAATAATAAAGATTAAAGTTTAAAATTAACAAAATGTGATATAGGACACAAAGTCAACACAATGCTGTTGGAAAAATGGCACCAATTGACTTGCTGGATGGAGGGTTGCCACAACCTTTTGATTTTTTACAAAAACATGACTAGGCTTTACAATTCCTTGGATAATTTAATTCTAAAGATTTTATTTTTTGTTAGATATTATAAAAGGGATTTTCTTGATTTCAGATAGCTTGCTGTTTCATTATAGAAACATTAGTAATTTGTTTTTGTTGTACTTGTATTCTCCAATTATATTCAATTCCTTTGTAGACCTCTGTACATGTGATCATGTCATCTGAAAAAAAAAAAAAAAAAAAAAAAAAAAGAATTAACTCTTTCCAAGTTAAGTGCTTTTAATTTTCCTGCCTTATGGCTGTGGTGAAAACTTCCAGTACTATGTTGAATGTAAGTGATGAGATTCTGCATTTCTTATGTTTTTTATTTAAGGAAAAGCTTTTATGTTTTCCCCTCTGAATAATATGTTAGCTCTAAGTTTAAAAATCATGGCATTTATTACACTTGTGGCCTAGCATTCAGCCACTCAGCCTTTAACATGCCTTTCTCACCAAGCTTAAGCATTTTTAGAGGCCATTTCAGGGTTACTGTTTGTCTTATTTTCAATATGGTTAGTGTCCCAGAGAATAGGGAGACCCAATTGTCTGTCTAAATATTTGAATTGTTACCATGAAAATATTATAAATATTCTCAAATGCTTTTATGACTGAGATGACCAGATGGTTTTAATCTTTTCTTCTGTTAGTGTAATGCATAACATTCATTTCCATATGTACAATCATTTGCATCACTGGGATGAATACCACTTATGAAAAATTAAATGTTTAAAATACTGTTGAATTCAACTTCCTAGTTTGTTGTAGAGGATTTCTGTGTCTATGTTCATCATCGATATTGGCCTCTGGTTGTCTATTATTTTAAAAATTTGCTTTATTAATTCATTGTCTCACAATTATAATTGTATTTATAGAATTCAGTGTGATGTTTTCATATGTATTTAGGTTGTATATTAATCCAATCACATGCAGTTATCATATCTTTATAATGAAAACATTGAAAAGTGTCTAGTCTGTTTTAAAATATACAACATTTTACAGTTAACTGTAGTCATGATAGTGTGTGAAAGAACACAATAATTTATTAGTCCTATCTACCGTCACTTTGTACCTAATGGCCAAATCAGACGCACCTCCCTGGTCTGTTGTAATCACTGTTCTACTCTCTGACTTAAGGATATCAAATTTTTATTTTCTTAGTATCCACATGAGTAAGATAACACAACATTAGTCATTTAGTATGTAGCTTATTACAATTAAGATGTCTTCAAAATTCATTCATGTTATTGCAAATTACAGTTCATTATTTCTTATGATTGAAAAGTACTGTGCTTTGTATATAAATATATAACATTTTCTTTGACAGACACCCACTGTGGGACACTTAGGTTAATCCCATATCTTAGCCATTGTAAATACTACTGCAATATATAAGGCAGTACAGATATCCTATTACTTTTAGCTGTATGCCTGATAGTGGGATTCTGGGATCATAAATTCGTTCTGTTTATAAATTTTTAGAAACCTCCCAACTGTCTTCCACATTGGCTATACTAACAATCACATCAACAGTGTGTAAATATTTTGATTTGTCCACTCCCTCACCAATAGTTGTTTCCTTTTGTCATTTTGATTTAACAATTCTAAGCAGAAGTGGTATTTTCTTGCGGATTTGGATTTGTGTTTTCCAGAATATTAGGGATACTGGGCATTTTTTTTTTCATGTACATGTTGGTCATTTGTATTTATTCCTTTCAAAAATGTCTATGCAGTTCCTTTGTCAATATTTTTTTTACTCATATTACTATTTTCTTGCTATTGAGTTATATTAGTTATATCTTCTTAATACTCCTTGTCACATGTATTGTTTGCAAGTATTTTCTCCAATATTCAAAATTGATTCCTCACTCCTTTAATACTTTTGCTGTGCAAAAGCTTTAAGCTTTGATGTACTGTCATTTGGCTTTTTCCTTTTATTCCCTGAATATTTCAGGTCTCATTTCTAAATCCTTGCCCAGCAAAATATCATTGTTCTTCAAGAAGTTTCACAGTTTCCAATTTTACATTTAATTCTTTATTCCATGTTAATTTTTGTGTATTGTTAAGATGTAGACTTCTAATTATTGCGCATGTAAATATAAAGTTTTCCCAGTGCTATTTACAAGGTACTGGCCAAAACATCCTGAACTAAGTTAAACAGAGGTGCTGAGAGTGGGCAAAAGTTTCTTCTTCTTACAAGAAAATATTTCATGTTTTCTTCATTGATTATGATGTTAGTTGTGGGTATTTCATTTACTGTCTATATGGTGTAAACATTCCTTTTATGCCTAATTGGTTGAGAACCAGTGTTATAAAATATCAAATTCTATTAAACTGTTTTATTTTTCAATCTATTGAGATGATTGAATGGCGGTGTTCCTCCTCCTTCATATGAGTATTTAAAACATCCTTGCCTCACAGGGACAAATCCTATTTCAACATGGTCCATGTGAACATGGTGAATAATCCTCTTAATATGAAGTGGAATCAGGTTTGGCAGAAATTACCAGTAAAACACTGTGGACATATCTTTGATAGATTTTTATTATGGATATGATTTGCTTGTTATTGGTCTCTTCAGATATTCTTTCTCATGACTGGATTTGCATACGTCATATGAGTATAAATTTTTTCATTTATTCTACTCTGTTCTTTATTAGATGCTTCCTTCTGTAAAATTTGTACTGTTTGTTCTTCCCATTCTATGAATAGTTGCTTCAGGTGTAACATAAGGTTTTTTTTAAATTACTTTTCTGGTATCACAAACATTAGTATGTTGTGTTTCATCTTTTACTTGTCAAAATATTTTTTAACTTCCATTTTGATTTATTGATTCACTCATTCACTATTTAAAAGCATATTGTTTAATTTCTATGTGTTTGTGAACATTCTAATGTTTATTCTAATAATTCCTAGGTTAGTGCAGTGTGCTTAAAAATGTGGTATAAATTCTATATTATTAAATTTAAAATTAATCTTTATTCCTAACATAAGACCTATGTAAAGATCCATCTTCTCTTGAGAAGAATGTAGATTGTGCTGCTGTTAGATGGAGTATTCTGTATTATTTGGCATAAAGTGTAGTGTAGCCAGATATTTGTGTCTAGATGATCTGCCCATTGCTGAAACTGGAGTACTGAAGTCCCCTACTATTATTGTACGGCAATCTATCTGTCCACTCAGAACTCATTTGTTTTATATGATTAGGAACTTCTATTTTGGGTGCATATGTATTTACAATTACTATAACCTCTTGCTGAATTAATCCCTTTTACCATTACGTAATAAACTTGTTTCCCAAATTTTATAGTTTTTGGCTTCATGTATAGTTTAATAAGTTTAACTACTATTATTCTTTTGCTTTCGATGAAAAACAATGGTTTTTCATCCCATTACTTTCAGTCCATGCATCATTACAAGTGAAGTTAATATCTTAGTTTTAATATCCATTCTGCTACTCTATTTTGAATGAATAATTTAATCCATTTACATTCAAAATATTGTTAATACTTAAAGAAATAATGGTATTTTGTAAATTGTTTTCTTTATTACTAGATCCTTTCTTCATTTTTTTTTTTTACTCTGCCACTATCTTGAATTGTAATTATTTTATCTTGTGATATTTTAAAATTTCTTTTTATTTTTGGTGTATCTACTATAGATATTAGGTGGTTCCATGAGACAATAATACATCTGATAAACTATTTTAAACTAATAACAACTTAATTTTCATTGAAAACTAACCTGTAACATTTTTACACCAATTTCTGAATTTTGAATGTTTACCTGGATACATAAAAGTTGTACATTTCAGAAGGTACATGTGGTATTTTTATACACACATATACTTAGTAGTAATTAAACTAGGATAGTTGGGACATGCACCACCACAAACATTTCTCACTTTTAATTTGCGGAACATTATAATTCCTCTATTTGGCAACCTTAAACAGTAACATGAAATACTGTTCACTGTTGTTCCCTTACTGTACTATCAAATACTAGGACTTATTTATTCTACTTGTTTTTGTACTCAGTGGTCGAAATTGTTGTCTTCCCCTTTTGGATAGAAGACCATTCAGTAACCAGCAATCAACTCTGCACACCAACCAGATCAACTGTTTTATACCCATGTTTAACATATATGTGAGAACATGCAGTATTTATTTTTTTGTGCCTGGCTTCTTTCACTTACCATAATTACCTCCAATTCCAGTCATATTACTGAAAGTGATATGATTTAGTTCCTTTTAATGAACAATTCTCAATAGTGCATATATATAACATTGTCATTTTCCTTGCATCCTTTGATAAACATTCAGGTTAACTCAAAAGTTATTGTGACTAGAGATGCAAAAAGAAGTGGATAAAGGCTGCTGCGAGGAGCCGGCGCTGGGTGGGCGAGGGGTGAACAGGGTGCCGCTGGCTGCTGGGGTCTACAGATCACCGAGCCCCCGGGAGAGGGGACTCCCGAGGCGGCATCTGCCTGTGTTTACCAGGCAGTGAGCGCGTCGGCCCCCGCGAACTCCCGGCAGTGCTCGTTGCGCCCCGCGAGGGAAACAGAGCCTTTGACCATGGTTGCAACTGGCAGTTTGAGCAGTAAGAACCCGGCCAGCATTTCAGAATTACTGGACCGTGGCTATCACCCAGAGAGCCTGCTAAGTGATTTTGATTACTGGGATTATGTTGTTCCTGAACCCAACCTCAACGAGGTAATATTTGAGGAATCAACTTGCCAGAATTTGGTTAAAATGCTGGAGAACTGTCTGTCCGAATCAAAGCAAACCAAACTTGGTTGCTCAAAAGTCCTTGTCCCAGAGAAACTGACCCAGAGAATTGCTCAAGATGTCCTACGGCTTTCCCCAACGGAACCCTGTGGCTTGCAAGTTTGTGTTATGCACATGAACTTGGAAATTGAAAATGTATGTAAAAATCTGGATAGGATTGTGTGTGATTCTAGTGTGGTGCCTACTTTTGAGCTTACACTTTTATTTAAGCAGAACTGCTCATGGACTAGATTCAGGGACTTCTTTAGTAGAGGTCGCTTCTCCTCTGGTTTCAGGAGAACTCTGATCCTCAGCTCAGGATTTCGACTTGTTAAGAAAAAACTTTACTCACTGATTGGAACAACAGTCATTGAAGGGTCCTAAAAAGGGAACATTTATAAAGGTTATTTCATGATTGGGTAGTGATACTATTCAGCAAGTCGGCTAAAGTCATTTATAGTTTGCCCCAGCTACCCTCAATAAGAAACCCCAAATGTAGTCCATTTTCTTTTTGTGTTTCACATTCATAGCAACTGCAGCTAACAGGCTGATTTTCTGGCCTTTGGAGAAATGATCCCAAATAGTGTACATTTTCTGCATATTATCACATTTTGTAGAGAATTGAATGAGATGGAATAGGTAAACAAAAGTAGAAGTCCATTTGAGTTGTACATTTGATTCCACAATTTTGTTTCAGGTAGGCTTGCTAATAGACTATATAAACCAGATTTACCTAGTTTGATTTTCATATGGCTTTTTTTTCTGTAAGTTTTCAGAGTGATTCTTTAAATCACAGAATCTTACTAAGTGACACTTAGCCTATCAAAACTTCCAGAAGCCTTCCTGACTCAAATTTGAATGGTTCTTAGACAGGAGGGTAGGATTAAGTAGGTGAGTTTAATTAAAGCTTAACCCTAGGTAAGAGTGAATGAGAAATATTACGGCTATAATGGAACTGCTTCACTGTTTCTTGGTGATTTCCTCACGCTAATGTTTTTAAAAGGCGACAAAAGCTTGTGCTGCCATTTCAGTAGCCACAGTGTTGTTTTGGATGCTTTTATAAGCTCCGTTTCCCTTGTTCTTAAGTGTTAAATATTGTTTTTAAACTAGAAAAATGCAAAATATAGAACTGATATTTTTGTGTGTAGTTGATTACTCTTCCATTGAATGAATGATGAATGCCTGTGAGGACAGGAAATTAGTTCTGAGATCTAGTCCCTCTCTGATTTATTTAGTAATCTGTCTTCTTTTCAGTATTATACATGCTTAATCTCAGATGAACCATTTCACCATGTCAGTGTTATCTCATCTCTGGGCTTTTCTGGGAATTGAGGTATCTCTCCTTAACCCCAATTTTCAAGGGCAGTAGCTGTATACTACCACTTTGAATTATCGAAACGGGTCAATTTACAAAGTCTGCATCGGCTATGGAGATATGGTTTATGGTACAGCCTAGAGAATGAAATTCACAGCCCAGATAACCATGCACATACCCGGATTTCTTCCACCTTGGATACCTGTCACTAGGGAATAATAGAGGCCTTATTTTTTGTCTTATTCTGACTAAGTAGATCATTATCTCTTTCCTTTTTTATGTTAATGAGAGAATTTAGCGTCTACCCAACAATGTTCAATTCAGCAAGGCTTTCATATCTTTGCTGTGGGTCGTGGATAAGGAGCTTATTCAGGTTTCCTGCTCTAGCTATTAGCTCCACTTCACATGCTGGAGACTGGTGTCAGGGACAGACGTATCATCCCAGTGTTACTCAAAAACAGGTGTGATCCTGTTACTGATACTGTAAGTGACCTAAAATGTCACTGTTCAAATTAGCAAGTGTTCTAACAAACTCTTCAAATGCTTGGAAAGATACTACAAAGCCAATCTTTACAGAATTAGGCCAAGATAAATCAATGTTGTTCTGCATGTCTATTGCTAGGCTCCAAAGGTTCACTGTGTTTCTGCTGCTGTCCTGGAGTTGTCACCACTAACTGGGCAACATTTCTTGGGCATGGATGTAGAACTGTTGTCCTTTATCCACTAACAATTTATCTTTGACTCTCTTGCCTGCTATGCTTACAAAATGGTGATGGCTTTTGGAGGCTGTTAAATTAATATTCCTGTTAAAGGAAATTAAAGTTTGTCTATTTTTGACAATAAAGCATTATATATTCTTTTAAAAAAGTGGATAAAAATATCACCCTAATATATTGATACCTTTCACTGTGATAAATACCGAGCAGTGGAATTGCCACAGTATAGTGGTTATATCATTTGTTTTGTGAGACAACACAATACTATTTTCAGAATGGCTATACAAATTCACATTCTCAGAAATGGTACATGACCATAACCAACTGAATGCATGGTTACCACCATCTGTTATTTGTCTTTTGGATATTTGTTTTAAATGAACAACATTCCACTGTGGCTTGAAATTGCACTTCCTTGATGATTAGTCATGAAAATGTTTACGTATACCTATTGGCAATTTATGCCTTCTTTTGATAAATATTCGCTCTAATAATGTATCCTCAACAAATCAGATTATTTCCTTACCTTTTAATGATGTGAATATATGTTCTTGTCCCTGTAAAAAACAATTATCCATTTTTTTCCCATTATGATTTGTCTTCACTATCTTCTTACCTCCATCATGCAGAGGCATTTTAGCTAGAAGTAGGAACAAATGTCTATTTTTTATTTTGTTGCCTGTTTTTCAGAGCTTACCAAAAAGTCTTTGCTTAAACAAATATCCAGAAGCATTTATATAAAGACTTTGTCTACCATTTTTATACTTTCAGACAGAAGTATTTAATCCATATTAATTTTATTTTTACATATGGTAAAAGATTCATTCTTCTACATATGATTATCCAGTTTTCCCAGAAAATTTCATTGAAAGCATTATTCTTTTCACAACATATATTTATGGTGATTTAAAAAAATGAGGTTGTTTTTATAAAAGTCTGGATTACTGAGCTCTTGATTTCATTCCATTGATCTACGTGTATATTATGCCAATATATCACACTGTGTTTACAATGACATTGTAGTATCTTTTGAAACTGTCTACTGAATGGAAATTCAGTATGGAAAACAGTATGGTAGTTTCTATTTCTATGAAAAATATCATTGGTTTTTAATACAAAAACAATGAATCTGCAGACTGCTTTGGGCAGTAATAATATTTTAATTATACTTACTTCAAAAGTTTGACTATTTGACATTTTTGTAGAGATTCCAAATGAGATTGTTTTCTTGATTTCTTTTGCAGACTGTTCGCTGTTGGCCAATGTAAATGCTACAAATTTCTGTATTGCTCCTTAGAATCCTGCAACATTACTTAACTTCTTTTCATTTGGATGCCCATTATTTCATTTGTTTAATAGATCAGGATAGAATGTTATGTGGAATAAGAGTGGGTATCCTATCTTGTTCCAGATATTAGAGGAAGAAATTTCAATTGTTCTTCATCATATTAACTGTAGACTTGTTATATATGAATTTTATACTTGTTTTTATTCTGGATTTATATACCACTAACTAGTTCACTTGTTTATAAAAATCATATAGGTTTAAATACTATGGGTACATGATAGTTGTATATATGTATATATATGGGACACATGATATTGGAATACAAGTGTGTCATGTGCAACAATCAAAACTAGGTAATGAAGATACACATTACCTCAAGCATTTATCATTTCTCTGTGTTAGGAACAATCAACTACTATTGTAATCATTTTCAAATATACAATAATTACTTCCTATAGCTGTCTTATTTTTTGCCCACAAACAGATGATATTCCTACTTTCAAATGGCATTTTGTACTCCTTAACCATACTGTCCTTATTTCCTTTTCCTAATACATAAACCCATTACTGATAACTGTCATTCTACCCTCTGAATCCATAGGTTCTTTGTAGCTACCACAAATGAATGAGAATACACAATCTTTCCATGCCTGATTTATTTTTCTCAATATTATGTCCAACTGTTTCATACATGTAGTTGCAAGTGACAGGATGCCATTCTTAAGTATGACTGAATATTCATTCTACTGTGTATACATATCACACTTTTTTTTTTAATCAGTTCATCAACTGATGGACACACAGCATGACTCTATACACTAGTGTTTGTAAATACTAACATAAACATATCAGTGCAACTATCTCTTCAGTATATTTACATCTTTTCTTTCAGATATATATCCCACAAGAGGAATGCTGAACAGTATGGTAGTTTACCAATTAGTTGTTTTAGAAAACAGTGAACATTGGCCAGGCACAGTGGCTCATGCCTGTAATCCCAGCACTTTGGGAGGCTAAGGTGGGAGGATCACCTGAGGTCAGAAATTTGAGACCAGCCTGGCCAACATGGTGAAACCCCACCTCTACTAAAAATATAAAAATTAGCTGGATGTGGAGGCGTGTCCCTGTAATCCCAGCTACTTGGGGATGCAGAGGTTGCAGTGAGCAAAGATCAGGCCACTGCATTCCAGCCTGGGTGACTGAATGAGACTCTTGTCACCAAAAAAAAAAAAAAAAAAAAAAAAAAAAAAAGAGAGAGAGAGAGAGAAAGAGAAGAGGAGGAGGAAGAGAGGAGAGGAGAGAGAGAGGAGAGATTATTTACTGTTGGCCTATGTAAATGCTACAGATTTTTCTAAGATTATGTGGTATTCTACATATACTTTAACTTCCTCATTGAATGTTCTTTATTTCATACTATTGTGTACTTACTCTGGCTAGAATGACTAGTCCTCCATGGAATAAGTGTACTTACTTGTCTTGTTCCAGATATTAGTGGAAAATATTTCAGTTGTTCCTCATTCAGTATGATGTTAACAAATTTACTATTGTTTTAATTTTAGGCATACTCTATGAAGTTCATTTTAGTGAAAATGATGTTATTTTTAATAGTTGCATGTATTATGTAATATATAATAGTTGCATATATGTACATATTTTGGGGACATATGATAGTTTGAAACAGATCAAACCAGGGTAATGGAAATAGCCATTACCTCAAAGATTATCATTTCTCTGTGGAACAATAACTTCCACTGCATGGCTATATTGAAATGCCCAATAAGTAATTATCAACTATACTTAACCTATTCTGCTCCACCAAGACAGATCTTATTCCTACTATCAACCTCTACTTTGTACCCTTTGACCACATTTTCTTTGTCCCTCCATCCTCACTACACTTCCAAGCCACTGATAACCATTACCCTACCCTTTATCTTCCTTAAATGCAGGAAGGCATTTATTTTAGCAAACACAGGAGTGAGCACATGTATTTGCTTTTCTGTCTGCCTTATTAGACTTAACATTATTTGAAACCATTTCCATATATGTGGCTGCATATAACATG